TTTGTAGCAAGTAATAAACGCAGCAATTACTTACCGAAATTGCGCGCACCTACCTTCGTATGCAAATACGAGATTTGAGTGTGTGTATGAGATCTGCGTGTCGGATGAACGAAAAGTGCCGGATCATCAAATAAAAAATGTTGCCTGCCAAATCAGGAAACGGAAGTAGTTAACAAAATGGTTTTTGGAATGAGTAGTGAATACGCAAAACGGCTATGTTGCAGACGAGGTGAAAGCGAGAAAGATTAGATGCAGATCTTAATAGCTAAATATTATATTTTGGGTCTGGAGTTTAGTAAGGTGCGGTGCGTTAGACAAATGTAACGAAACTCTTGCCCGGGCCCTGTATAGAGTAAGCTAATTTAATATTAAAAGTTGGTGAGTTGCCATATGTAATACCCGCACGATTTTTATAGTTCGAAGAATGCCAACTCTTTGAAATTTTTTAAATAAAGATTAAGGTAAAATCAAGTGATTTTCATTGATTCATCCGATATTCCAAGTATGCCAGTAAGAGCTCTGGCTGTTTTTCATCGATTCTCAAGCACCAGTTCCTTTATTCTATTGACGTGTTGATCAGTAGTTGATGTTGATCGCCGTCCTGGAGCTAGTTGGTCGTCAACGCGTTCTTAATCCTCTTTGAATTTGACTGACAGTCATGCCCAACGTAGAAAAAATGGGTTTTCGTCCGAAATTTAAATTAAAAAGTCTTACTATTTTTTGGCCGCAGAATATGGGTAAATGAGTGTATCTATTTATATGTGAAATAATTTTCCTATTTAAGTCAATTTATTCGCCCATTGATTACTTAAAGAACGCAAGACAATTACTGGTTTAGAGCTATGCCTGCTAATACTTTGAAGCCTTTGTACTCATCGACTCTGCCATGGCCACAAAGACCACTCAAATTTTAACTATCATCAATGTCAACTACGAAAACCAACAATCGGAAATAAGCATATCTGCTGATGCGACAACACGCTGAGCTTGCTGATGTTTTCAACGCTGACTAGTCATTAAATTTGTGACAGCAGATACACCCACTCATAATGTACTAACCATATATAGTATAAAAAGTATTGCTTTCTAGAACAATACTTTATATTTGATAGGCTATGAATTTGTTAATTAGTAGGTATGAATGTTATATGTAAATCCAATGCATGTACATGTATACTGGTTCAACTCATGTTAGTTAGGAAATCTTGCCCCACAAAACAAGACATTCTCACTTTTATTTTAATTTGTGTAAAGTGTCTGATATTTACGGTGTACCGTCAACTAACAGACTGAGGTTAATATAAGAGGTTCGATGAAAAATGTATATCGATCTCGGAAATTTTCCAATTTCAAGCTTCCTTTTCTCACCAATAAGCTGTTCTCTGCGCGGAATCGTCGATTTCAAACATATGGCTGCTGACTGTTAGTTCTGAGTTTTTGCCTCGATGATTGACGACCGCACAGGTAGTTCATAGTCCACCTCTTCAGTCCTGGAAGGAGTGAAGTTTTTTCAGTATCCCGCAGAAGCGTTTTATGACTGGCTGTGTCAACGGCGTTTGATCTCTTATACTACTTTATCCTATTTAACCAACACGAATATGCCATATGAGAGAAAAGCATGGTTTTAGCCTGATTTCGCACAATTCAACGACAGTCTATTATATGGTAAATGGTAGTATGCTTTTTTTCTTTCTATGTGTACATACATACATAAGTTGAAACATGTACGAATAGAAACAAATCTAATGCGTATAAAATATATAATATGGTCAATTCTTCACTCCAAGCAATAACAATCGATTCCATGGAAATGCTGGACGGCATAAGCCATGAGATGCCAAGCTTTTGTTGCAGATTGTATAGAGCACATCAGTCAATATGCGGAATATAGCAACATAAAGAACTGTGTTCACTTTTTATATGAGTATATACATTTTAAAAGACTGTATACAATAGGGTGAGTCAAAAAATTTCTTACAAATTTAAAAAATATATATTTTTTCAAGTAAATGGAAAACCAGATATGAATATTCTAGCTGATAATCAGAACCAAATAGTTAACGCTAAGATGAAGCACCTTCACGTTACACTTAAGGGGTAGTCAGAATTTTCAAAAAAAAAAAAAATTTTTTTTTTTACAAATTCGTTAAATGTAATAACTTAAAATTTTCATTCATTCCCTGAAAATTTCACGTTGATCCGTATAATTAGTTTTTGAGTTATTCGACAAATAACGAAGAGAGCTCGGGCACTTCTAAGCGCTAGTGTGAAACTTTAAACGCGTTATTCTCAAAACAATGTTTTTTGAACTGGTGACTCCAAAGCGCTACATAATAAACTCGGGCTTGAACGGAGGATTTCTATTTTTTCAAAAACTTGGATTTTTTAAGGATTTTTACCCAAAAACTTAGAAAAAAATTTCCTGAGGCCGCTATTTTGTTAATTTTTGAAAAAACCAAAAATCCTTCGATCAGCCCCAGGATTATCTATTTATAAAACTAATTTTTTTGTCCGATTGATTTTAGATGAATCTCCAAGGACTTATGGTTGTCACCGCAAGTACCTTTTTTTTTTGGAACAGGGTCGACAAAAACAACTATAACCTTGGAAATTATTATTATTATTATTTTTTTTTTTGAAATATTCGTGACTTCAAGACAACACATTCTATAATAATGCCATATGACTACATTTGTAAAATAACACGATTTAATAGCAAAAAAAAGAAAAAATACTGAAAATTATAATTTTTCTGTGCCTCTGCCAACCACTAACCCCTTAAGATCTCTTACTTGAGAAGGCTTACTTAGTCGTATCCACCAACCAATTTTTCATAGTACAAGCTAAAAAAAAAGAAAAAACAAAACTAATTTTTGACCCACCCTAATATACACATCAAATAACGAATACGTGCTTGGATTTGTTGCACGCCACAGGAACAATGCGAACACCATAGACCGAGACTTGCGGTTGGCGAAGAACGACGTAATTGCGGTTAAGCGCAACTCTTTTAATCTCTGCGACAACAAATAACAACAAACACCACACACCGTTGGTATAATGTTCTGGTGATTGTGTGTGGTTTTGTAAGGGCCAAGGATGCCTCGTGCACAGTATTCAGCATTCAATAAACGATATGACGGATATCAAATGAAATAGAAAAAGAAAACACAATTACTATTGATCGATAGCAGCAGCAGCTAGATGGTATGAGTTGGTACCGCTACGTATTGTGCACAGATTTTACTAAAATAAAATATTTATAATCACATACTTCAATTTTCATCTCTAATTTCACTGTTGACTGTTTTCTGCTTGAGGGCAATAAGTTAAGCTGGCTGCTGTCCCTGATAGGATAACCTTGACCTAGAAATAATGTTTGCTTTTCTTTTCTTCACCTGTTCGATGTAGGTGTTATGATATTTACTAATAAGTATATGTATATATGCTTGTATATGTTAATACTTATATATAAATATTCTCTGCAGAAGGTTGTTCATTTTTCTCCTTTATTGAACTGTACACCTCTTACCTGGTCTTTCCAACGGAGTACGAGTCTTCCTATTCCTCTGCTTTGAGTGTTTTCATCCTTTTATCTCGAAAACTCGTAAATTCGACTCATCAGATGTTGTCATCGGCATGCCTCTACACCATATATCGGGATGAAGATGATTTGCTCGACGCGAGAGGACTTTAGTTCTCAATTGAATGCTTAGTCCGAAGTAGCATCTTCTAGCAAGAGTTATTTCATACTAGGTATCGAGGCTGACATTTTTCTTAGTACTAATATTTGTTCCAAGATAGACGAAATTATCTACCACTTCGAAGTTATGACTGTCAACAATGAATGCCAAGTGCGACGACTGTTTGTTTGATGACGAGAGATATTTCGTCTTCGCTTTACAGCTGTACACTCATGTAGAAGATTGTACCTTCTCTACTTAGTTCTACAGCTCGAATTATTTGCTGCAGTAGTAGATTGTAGAAGACACACAATAGTGAGTCGCTTTGTCTGAAACTTAGTTTGGTAACGAACGATTCGGAGAGGTTTGTCATGATCCTAACGAAGCTTTTGGTATTTGCTCAACAGCAGTTTACACAACCATATTAGTTTTGTGGTGATGTCAGAGCTGTTTGAGCCATATGTTAAAGAAACGTTTTTGGTCACTCCCAAGTGAATGGCGCTCAGAGAACTTTCCTCACTTGCAGGAACTTCTACACATGGCTCCATCCTCCAAGTTAATAAGTTGAGATAATTAAAACTTAAATTGAGTTAATGTGTTTTGTGTTCAAATGTACTCAATTTTATTTAAGCGGTTAGTACTTGCCAACTACTTGTGAATTTACTTGTATATAAGAATGCCAAAAAAATTGAATCGGCTTTAAGAATATTTGCTCAGATTGCAATAATAATAGGCTTTGTCTGGCAAAAACTTGTTGAAAATGAAAGAATAATAAATTGAGGCATTATTTTTTTCTGATTTCGATTTCCTACACATTCTACCAATTTTGACATTATTTTTTTTTACTAAATAGGCAATAGCTGTTCTCAAAAAAATGTATTATATATTAAATACTAATTGCGCAATTAATTAATTTCTTTCTTACTAATTTGCTGCTCTGTTAAAGATTTGGCGATTAGCCAATCGCTCTGTTTGTGGTTAATTAAGAACAATTAGCGATTCAATGGCAAATTCTTTATTTTAATTACTCAATTAACAGCGCGTTTAGACATGTCAGTATATAAATATAAATTATTTTGAAAATATATATATGACCATAATAGCCACTATATACAAACTTGTATATGTACATGAAATTATATAATGATTTAGAATATAGTCATTCATAAAAGCTAAATTTGTTTGCTAGTTATTGTAAATTAAACACTTCAATCCGATTTCTATGGATTTCAGTCTGTACCCGTCCATGTATTCACAACCGAGTTATTGACAATTATTAAATTAACTAATGTACTTTCTATTTAAATTTTTTTACAGGATTCTAAACTACGTCAAATTGTTACGCTTGGGTCACAGGACACATTGGAGGAGAAAACTGTGACCATTTGTCATGGTTGTGATTTCGTTAACGTCACATTTGTAAATTTCTGCTGTACCAAAAGAGAGATTGCACAGGTAAGTTTATGACGTCATTCTATTCATGCTTTATTGCAGGCAATTAGTCTTAATTAAGGCTCAATTTGATTTGAAATAATTAAGACTCAATTTGATTTGAATTAATTAAGACTCGATTTGTGCCGCTGAGTTTTGAGTTATCGCGTTTATTTGATATAAAACGAAATAATGAAGGGACTTTAGTTGGTGAAAGTGCATATGAACGCACCATTATCATTGGAATCCGGTTTTTTCATAGCAAGAGGAAGCATTGAAAACCGAAGTGCGAGAATTTAATCCTTATCATGTCTTTCCACGGGACTACTGGACTAAGTATTACTTAATGGGGGAGAAGAAGACATTTAAGGCTCTCCTATTGTACGGATTGACTGACGCCTAATTCGTTGTAAACGTCACAATCTTATCATGATTTGCTATAGTAGTTACTGAATTTGGGTCAATACTTTCTCGCTCGACATTAACACGCAGTTCGAAAAGCAGCCTCCCGTCTGGCTTGTCGCCAGAAATCTTCGATACAATTTTTGTTTTGGGAAAGGTTTTCATAGTATCCAGTTGAGTCGTTTCGGATAATATCAAAATGCATACCACAGATATACTTGTAGAATACATACAGATAGAAAGGAGAAATGTGGTCAAGCAACTAAAAGAACTAAAGGTGAAAATTTTATACTAAACAAAAAACTTCTTAATTTCGGTTGCATCGAAGCTGATCCGAACAATCGGAAGATTTCAATGTTGGTTTGGAAAATAATTGGTGGAAAACTTTGTGAAGATACCTTCTCAAAGACAAAAGTTTTCCATACAAGTACTTCCTTCCGATCATTCAGTTTTCATGACAACTACATGCCATAGTGGTTCAATACCGACCGTTCGATAAGTGAGCAGCTTCTTGGGGATATCCCATAAAATGTGCGACTAGTTCGTATATATGGATAGACAGACATGCCTAAACCGTTTCTTCTGGGGATTACAAACCTTGTGGCAAACTTAGTATAGTCTATTATGAAAACGCTGATAATCAATAAATCAACGCTATTTTATGAAACGCTGATATCAGAAAAATCTGAAAAGTCTCTACACTTTATAGCAAACAAATAATACAATCTGATAAAATCTGAGTCGAATGGATTTAAACGGTACGCGCAAAGCGAATCGATAATTTTTTTTTTTTTTTTTGCCTAGATTGGTACGCACCTTTCTATGCTCGAGTGTGAAGGGGTCTCCATATGCCAGCCAGTGTATTTTCGGCAACTTTTGTGTACGATGCGAGAAGTGAGTTCACCATGGAGAAAAATATTAAACAATGAGCTGGCTTGAAATGTACAATGTTCCAATGGAACCGGCGCTACGTAATCGTTAGAAATGTTGTAAAAGTCTGAAAGTATTAGTAGTATACTTTATCACGAATACTATCGAATGAAGTTATCGAAACTTGCCTTACACATATGAGTTGCCCAGACACCTCTGCTAATGACGATAACAGCGAACAAGTTGAATGAACGGTGCTTGACAATCGTCGCGTTGACATCAGAGAGAGCAGAAGATCTCAACAACTCTTATGGACTCAAGATATTTTGGTTAAATTTATGTATGACGTAGAATATAATCAGAGAAGTAATTACTTCCTAATAGTTCAAAGAGCAGATGCCAAAACGCAGAATAGTACTGACACACTGAAGAGGAATTCCATTAACTTTTCCAAGTTTCTGAGAATAGTAACTCAATTAGGAGTTAAAACAACTTGAAATACAAACTAGTATTTTCAAAATTATTATTTTTTCTCCTAATGGCGGAATCTCATAGTTAAAATACAATCAGTAAAGAGATTTTATTGGTATACATTTATAAAATTATACTATAATAAACTATTCAATACAGTGAAAGTTTTATTTACGAATAAAAGCAAAAAGGTTTTTGTAGGTATAAGAATCCGAGAGATTGTACTTAAGGTTTAATTTTGAATATGTTCATACAAATAAATTTCACTAGAAATAATAGCGAATTTAAGGCTGCTTTCTAAATGTCTCGCTACCAGCATTTCTGTGCAGTTAATATAATTGTCCGCTTATTAGATAGTACTTAATAAACATTATCAGACGTCCGCTTAATAGAGCGTTCATTTAAGAGAGCTTTCACTTTATTCTTACTTATGAACTTCTAAGTTGATTTGAACTGGACAAAGTGTGCTAAATTTTACTAAAATCGGCTTAGTAGTTTAGGAGTCCGTCGCGGACAAACAACGTGGCACGTACTTATTATATATTATATAAAGATTTTTAATTGCTCCAATAACAAATCCCACAAAGCTTTTCAAGTTTTCAAAATTTCAGTGTAAACTTTCAGTTGAATTTATCTTTAAAGACCACAGATAAAATTTTCAATTGTTTAAGTCTCCACGCCCCTGGCACACCTTTTGAGACCAATCAACTTAAGAGAGGAACAATTATCGTCCATTATTTGACATTTGACCGAAAGCGGATTGTTAAATGTCGAAAAGTTCGTATGTTGTTTGCCAAAATTGTTGCTTAAATACTCAACTTTACACATACGAATTTGCTAAATTGTCCGAAATAGCCGTCCGTCTGCTTACTGTGTCCTTTGGCACTGGGCCAAACAAGTCATTGTATTTGTATTTGTGTTTGATTTGCTTAAATCTTTTCGGTCGTCACATGTTCGCTTGCTGTCAGTTTGTCAGCAATTTTTGATCTAGGTAAAGCGCATGGCGGTACACATTTTTTTTTTTTGAGAACGTTTTTATATTTGGCGAAATTTAGAGTATAGGCCAAAACTAAAACCATGTAAAATAATCGCCCGAAAAGGACACTTTTATTTATATATATTTTTACATATAAATATATGTATTTGAGTACACAAACAAGTAAGGTTTGGTATGGGAGCATAAAAGTTTTTCGTTTACTTTTGAAAACTTCGAGAACTTTTAATTACTCACTACTTTGTGTTGCGGCATGTTGTTTTTGCCAATATGAGGGTGTTTCTTTTACTACTGTTAGGCGATATCGAACTTATTGGCAAATATGACTTTTTTTTTATTCTGAGTGAACTAAAAACACACTTGAACGCATCTGGTTTTTAGACAGCAAGAAAATTGATTAGGTCTGAGTTTGATCAATCAGATTCGGAAAAATTCTTTAAGCAATGTGTGAACGAATATTGAGCTTTATTTGTTATCATGAATAAATTACAAAAAAAAAATACAAAAGCAGCATATTCGATCAATAATTTTTATTTTGTTATGATGAAATAAGGTTAATCTATAGCCTTCAAAAAATACCTAACTTTGACCACTCGCGGTACAATATTAGGTTGTCAAAAAAGTCTTGCGGTATTTTTGCTAGTTGGCGCTGAGAGCGCGTAATTCTACTTTTTTTTCGTCGCATCGGGTCATGCTATACCTTTTTGGAAAGCTCATTTCACGCGCTAACACGTGTTTGATTGATTGTCGTTTCTTTTTAATCGTTAGTGAGTTATAGCGTCGCAAACATGGAACAAAATAAAAAGAAAATACGTCATATTTTACAGTACTACGACTCAAGCCGCCAATAAAATTTGTGCAGTTTACGGACCCGATACAGCTTACATTTCCACCACACAACGATGGTTTCAACGTTTTCGTTCTGGTGTAGAGGTGGTCGAAGATGCGCCACGCTCCGGAAGGCCTGTCTTGTTCAATTTATTTATATATTGGCTCAGATTGTGTAGATCACACTTATTGTATTCTACAAAAAAGCTGATGCATGCTCCTTATCAGTTCTTCGCCGCCGTATTTGATTAGCTTTGTTGTTCTTCAGACGGGTAATTGCAATTCACATCTCTTCATGGTCAGGCAATGGACGTCTACGCCATCGTCATTGATTGGGGAATCGGGTTCATCTTATAGAATATTTTATGGCAAAAAGTATATTTGTTTAGAGCTTAAACTGACCTTACCCATTAAGTTTTCTGTTCCGTCCGAGTTACAAGTTCTGTCAGTTGTATATTTCTATAACATAAGTATTGGAAATAATTTGCAAATTGCATTCACTCATTAGTAGCTGATATCATATCAATCTATCATTAATAAAAGTTTATAAATATATATGAAAAAATTTTCGACTGACTTAACTAATTTGCCTTCCACAAAAAATTCCCCTCCTGGTAACCGCTTTTGTTTACTTTGAAAGTTATGGCACTGAGTTTGTTGAAAAGAAAAGTGGTGAATTTGATGTTCACTCTCAATCGAGCGCTTATGTTTTAAAGTATCTTTGCGTTTCTAGTGCGATAGAATCTGCTATCTTTATCGATTGTCCAGTGAGAATTTCATGAAATTTCATTGATTGAAAGCGAAGTTATTGCGTTTTAAATGTCAGTAGGTTTGTGTTATCGGTGCGAATGAGCTTTGAATAAAGAGCCAACATTAAATTTTGTTTTAAAATTGGTAAAACTCCTACGGAAACATTTCAATTGATGAAACAAGTTTATGGCGATTATTTTCTATCCCGTAGCAAAGTGCACGAGTGGTTTCGACGTTTCCAAAGTGGTCGTGAGAACATAAATGCCGGTCAACATGTGAGCCGGTCAAAATTCGTGATCGCCGGAAATTCCATCGAAACTGAGCGTGAATTCATCAAAAATCAGCCCAAATCATTATTGAATTTTTTTTAAATGAAATTGAACATCTCCAAAACATCGGTTTATCGCATTTTGACCGAACATTTGAGCTTACGAAAGGTGTGTGTACGGTTTGTTCCGCACAAATTGATTGACGCTCAGAACCCAACATTCGAAAGGCTTAATTAAAGAGGTTATTTGACGAGAAGTCATATTTTAGCCATTAACCACTTCCCGTATTCACCTGATATGGCACTGTGCGAGCTCTTGCTTTTCGGAAAAATGCATTTCCTCATGAAAGGAAAGCGTTATGTAGACGTAGAGGCCATTCAAAAGGCTTGCAGCGGCCTACTGGCGGCCATACCGGCCAACGAGCTAAAACACTCGCTCGACATGCTTTTGAATGGTGCAAAAAGCTGTATTGAAGCAGAAGGAGACTATTTTGAATAAAATAAATTGATTTTGCGGAAAAAACCAATTGTTCTGTTTTTTTAAGTCCTGTTCAATTTGGAACACACCTTGTACATCATAAAAGTTCTTCTATTTTAAAATTTTTAGAATTTTGCAGAAATTTTAAGTATTCTTTTTTGCTAGTTTTTCTAGTTCGGAAATCTAAATATTGAGCTTAAGGTGTCTGAAAAGAATATATTTGCCTAGTTAGTTGCAATTTTTTGAATTTTTTGCTTGCTGTTGAATATCTTTGTAAGAATACAGTGCGTATACGTAACTAAAAAGTAACTGAGGGTGATATACAATATTAAGGAAATAAATAAAGCATACGAATTATAAGTTAAATATTGAAGACAACAGTATTTGCATTGAAGAATACTGTATCAATTTTAAATTTACATATTAAAATAAAATCAAAACAAAATATGAAAATAAAATGAATAAAATAAAATGGTTAAAAATATATTATGAAGAAATAAAGTCATATACAGACAATAATTTTACAATTTAGAATGATTGCTTATAATCACATTAAAGTGTTTACACAATTGAATTGAAAATTCGTTTAGCATCGTTGTATTACGCTAAGCACTAATTCTCTCTTAGCCTGTGAGACCATTCGTCTCGACTCGCCCTCTTGACTAATCATCGTAATTCACAATTCATAATGTGCGGATATGCATGTGCATGCATGTACTATATGGGTTTGCATAATGAAAATGTGGTTTACACAGCTATTTATGACATTGTTGTTAGCCTAGTCTCGCAACATTCGGCGCCACATATACATATACAAATGGGATATTATATCAAATTATAAACACAATAGCGGCTTAATTTTGATGCTTCAAATTATATTTGGGAGTTTTGTGTAATTTGCTAAGTATCTCACCGCTATCGTGTAGTTAAAAAATACCATAATATGATTAGTTGTTTACTTTTCCATGTAAAAATAACCCAAATAAAAGCGAACAGGAATGCTGATTCAAGATACGAATACGATACTACTACACTTATATACTACTGCGGGCAATAAATAGTTAGACTTTTTAATTTAACCTTCGCACGAACCCCATTGTCGAAATATTTTCTTTTCTAGATTGGCGACATTTCACTAAATTTTTTCGGAAAACAGTATCACGGAAACGTCTGTAAAACAATGCTTTCCGACCACCAGGTTGTCATCAAACAAATTATTACTGGTCATGAGCCTTGGACCTATGCTTATATCGTGGCAAAGTCGAGCCGTAAAAACCTTGTCTAAGCAGTTCAAAGATTAAGGTTATGTTGGCAGTTTTCTTCGATTATCGAAGTGTGGTGCACTCCGAATTTCTTCTGACCAATCAAACTGTCAACACAGAATACTATTTGAGCGTCATTTGCGCGAACCTTTTCGTATAAAGCATCCGGAATTATAGGTCAACAACTCTTGGTTTTTGCACCACGATAATGCGCCGTCACATACTGCATTGATTCGTCGTGAGTTTTTCGCCAAATTTTTAACCAATATCGTCTCGCAACCTCCGTACTCGCTTGATCCATGTGACTTCTGGCTATTCAGCCAGACCGCTCCGGGGAAACCGGATGAGTCAATTGAAGACATTTAGCCTGAAAATACTATTCCGAAAAATGTCTTCAACATACTGTTCTGAGTTTTGGGAAAAAAAATTGGCAAAATTGTATTGGGGCCAAGAGCAATAATTTTGAAGAGGGCTATGTAGGTTTTACTTAATTGCAAAAACTGACCTGAAAATGTTATTATAATACAAAGCTTTCGTGGAAAGCCAAAACATTTTCGTTTAAATATTTAATTAATTGAAGAAAAATATTGACTCTTTCATATTACTATGAAAGATATCTCTTAGTTACTTTTGGAAAGCCTTGAAAACACGGTTCAATCAATAATTTTAAATTTAAGCTGAGGGGATACGAAAACGCCCAACTTTATGAGGAATTTAAGGCACTCAGCTCGAGTTGAATAATTTATGGCTTTGTTTTGGTTTTAATGATTATAAAATATAAATTGAAATATTGCCCTGCCATAAACATTTGTATATAGTATGTATGTATTATGTTTATAACTAAACCCCGACAAAATTTACATTTCAAATCAAAAATGGTTGTGCTTCATTTATATGCTTTCTCTTTTCATATTTGTGTATAGATAAACATATAGTATATAGGGTGTTTTAGGAGCACAGAAATTTCTAAAAGAGTTGTCAAAGTAAATACATACATTTCCTTTAAAACATATTTATGTTCAGTATATCTTAACAAGTCGCTATTCAAATACTAACAGCTAAGCAACCTTAAAATATAGGGAGAAAATTTCCAGGCTACCTTGCTTACTAAGAAATTATAGGTTAATATTTTTTAAACTGACCGTTGCTGAAATTAAAAAAAAAATATTCGGGACTTTTTAGTTGGTCACATTAAAATATTTCGCTCAAGTTATAAATGGATTCACTGCGAGTAAAATATTCAATTTAAGGGTAGGGACTTTTGGTGATCGGATCTTAACAAGAAATGATACTGCCGGTTGGCCTCTAGATTAAACATTTTATATGTTTATCCCTCTGTATGATGGTATAAAAAGACAGTAATTTATGCTGATTGCCTGGTTGGAAAGCTATATTTGAAACGCTATTTGGGTATGATGACTGATTGCGCTATAAAACATATGGAAATAATGGATCTGTTCTTCATGAACCGCAATATGCCCAAAATTATTTTCAAGCACTAAATTCCACATATTAGTATTCTGAAGTAAACAGCCAATGCCTCTAACAAAATCACCCTCTAATAGGGTATTTAATTTATGTAAAACTTATTGCGGTCACAGTCAGTCACTGTGCGACCAACAACAGGCTATTATTCAGGTGAACTGTTTTTTTTTTTTATTACAAACGACTAAATTTGCAATTCCGATTTGTAACGGTTTTTTTAATGCCTTTCACATTTTAACTTGCCGTTTATTTTTTCTTCATTTTTTTTCCTTGCAGCAATGGTGTGATGGCATTATGCGTCTGGCTTACAGTTTGGCCAGACTCAATGGCTCAGCCAATACGTTTCTGCAGAAGGCGCATACCAAACTCTGCCTGCAGGTTGACAAAGGTGGCAAAATTCCAGTGAAGAAGTAAGTAACTGACGCCTAAGTAAAATTGAAAGTCAGAAAATAATTACTTATTGCCGCAATTTCATCGAAGGCGCTGCCGGAGCGCAGCGGAAATGAAGCGCATATTTAATTTGCACTGTACTTTTGCTTTTGTTCTTCACAAAATTGCTTTCATGATATGCATACATATATATATTTACCACATATATACATTTACATATACATGTGCATTGTAATTGTTTCACCTTTGTGCATTTTTTTGTGGCAGCATCATGAAAATGTTCGCACAAAACAAAGAGGATCGCAAGCGCGTGGAGAAGGCGTTGGACATGAGTGGCTTGCCGTCGGGGAAAATTGAGACCTTGTCCTTGCCGAAGTTTCATTTCGAGGACTTTTTCAATTTGTACAAGAATCTCACGCAGCGCAGTGAAGTGGAGAAAATATTCGATGGCATGTAAGTACTTAATAACGGTTTGACACCTTGATAACCCATGCCTTTGTAAGAACGCCCTGTCAGCAGCGTGAGAAATACTACAATTTTTAAAATAATTAATTAACATTTATTTCAAAATTTGCTGATAAATACTTAGTTCGTCTTATAAATACATTTTTTAATTTAGTTTGAAAGAAATTGCAAGTTTTCGCAGTTCAAAAAGATCTTCAAGCACCTTGAAAAATCTTAAATTAACTAATTATTTCCATATTTTTGCTTTTAGCGTCGGCAATTCTAAGCGCAAATGCATGTGCATCGCGCAACTTGTCGAGTTTCTCAATAAAACGCAACGCGATCCACGGCTGAACGAGATTTTATATCCTTACGCGAACGCAAGTCGTGCCAAGGAGATTATACAGGAGTACGAGCCGAACAAATTCAATGCGCAGAAGAACCAGCTGAGCTTAGATGGTTTTCTGAGGTATGTATTCCACAGAAATATATATTTTATTTTCAAATTTTCATTAATTTTAGTAAATTGTGACAACTGAAAGAATTGAAAATATACAAAAAACACTCTCTTTGTTTAATTAATTGGTGTTGGGTGGTGTGTTTTATGTTCTCTGATTATTTATTTCCAAATTTGAGCAAAAAAAAAAAAATTACTTGAGCAGAAGATCTTGGCCTTTTCCTTACCTTGAGCGCTTGACAACCTTTAAGATTTTATGATAGGAATATGATAACAAACAGATAAATATTTATTCTTTAATTAAAGCCTATACTAGAAATGATTTGATGCTGACTAAATCTCTAAATTTTGTGATAGATATCGTAGACTTTATACATCAAAGTCTGCCATACATATGTACAGGTTCGCTGCTATTGAAGCAAGGGTGAAGGAAAGCTCAATTGTTTTGATGCGGAAATTTTCCCCAACTTCGCACCGAGTAGAAAGTAATTCGAGGGTTTACTTTTATTTAGCGGGAACAACCCTATAACTACAACTTGCAATTTTTGATGATGACGAGCGCTATATACATACGTTGTTCATAGTAACTTAAAATATTCATCTCGATTAGAAAATTTAAATTTAAATCACAATCATTTTCGCGCCTTCATTTTTTACAACTTTCGACGGGCATTAATGAACTTATGCTATTGGCTGACTACACCACCATACGATTTGACTTATCTGGATAACATTGCAAGGTTAATCCGAAAAGCCATTGCAGTCTTATCTTTGTTAAAAAACTGAGATTACAGGAATTATCAAGAACTCGCAAAATAAAATGATTCACAGGTCCATAAAACTCCTTTCAAAACATTCATATTTAGCCAAAAACTCGAGTTTTATGTCTTAAGTTAACAAACAACTCAAAATGCGATGTTCAATTTGATTGAGTTTCTAGATATATAATCATAAATTGTCCAACTTAGGTAAGGTCCCGTATTACATAGACCTACTGGTCCTCAGCAATGCCAGACGGTTCAGTTTATTTTGACGTGAAGAATTCGTCACACAGGACGTCAAAGTTTTTTTTTTTTTTGCAAGCTTGAAGATCAACTTGATATCTACGTTTGATACTTCGTCCAGTCCTTTGAATTCCGAAGCTCTTAGAAACTTGAGGCGAGTTCTAAAAAGTGCTGGACGAATGCATAGTAAGTGTCTCCCTCGTGTTAACTTCTGTTAACTGTGACGTCAGTAGGTTGTGACCAGTTAAGAGGCCAGCAGTCATACAGTTGTGCTTTCGAGACCATTGTGTAAGAAGCAAGCGAATTTTCCTAAGGATCTCATGCACTTGTCTAGGTGATTTTGAATGTACTAATGGCATTCCATTTCGACCTGATCCGCCTGTCAGCTCTTTCGTAAATTTCGTTGTATATTGTTCTTAGCGACTTCCGTATTTACAGTACTTGTTCGGTAGCCAGACGGATGGTACATTTGGCAATCTCATCAGCTGCTTCATTTCCCAAAACAAGCGTGTGGGTATGTGGTCTAATTTGTCCACCAGTCCCCCGGTTATTGAGCTATGCCCGAAGGTCCTCGTGGAGAACTCACCTAATGCCGCCAATCTTGCAGCATATTTTGCTTTCGACTGTAATGTCGATTGGTGCTAGGTTGAGTGACCTTTCTATTGTGGGAAGTTCCCACGAGATTATTTAATACTCCATTCTTCGAAGATCTTTATTTTGTTTAATATTGAAAAGATTGCCACTATTAGACTAGAAGTTGTGGTTGGCAGAATATAACCCTCACTCAGCTATCTCCTTGATTCTATAACTTCTATTACGTGATATCCTAGACTTAATAGTCTTTCTTGTTAGGAACTGTTTTACAAAAATGGCGATCTCAGATATATGGAGATCAGAAGTATCAAAATATCTTTAGATATCTAATGTAGCACGGCCGTTGAGCGATCTCATACATTTTATATTCCGAAAACTATTTTATACTTTTGCGATATATGTTATATTCAAAGTATTTATTTGTATTATGCGAATTAATCGAATTTTCATAAAAATATAACTCACTAATTATTTCTTCAGGTATTTAATGTCTGATGACAATCCGATTGTGGCGCCTAGCAAACTGGACTTATGCGACGACATGGATCAGCCATTATCACATTATTTTGTAAATTCTTCCCACAACACTTACTTAATAGGGCATCAGTTGACAGGCAAATCGTCGGTGGAAATTTATCGTCAATGCCTGTTGGCCGGGTGTAGGTGAGTACCGAAAACTATCACAGTAAGGCATTGACAAATAACGCACATATTGCTAAAGCAACAAACACAATCGAAATTTCAATTTGCATTATGCAACAGCATTGAATTGGATTACGTAAGCAAAGCAATACCTCAAGTAATACAATACAAAAAACGTGTATTATTGCATATGTTAATACCCAGCAGTGAAATGAACTAGTTATAAACAATTCGCCAATTGGCATGCAATAGAAGGTCACCTGCTTCGCGATTACTTTTTCATGCAAAGGATTGAAATATCAGATATAGGATTTATTTCATGCTTTTATTACATGTATATATGTTTCTAGTCGGGTTGAAAATGTGTGCCCGACCGAATTATTTGCAGCAACGATGTACATACATATATTTTTAATAACAGTTTTATTCAGAGAATCTATTTGCGAATTAAAAAAATTTGCAGCTCTCGAAAATATGTTTAACTATGTGTAGTTATTATGAAGAGATACTATATTTAAATACAATTTTATATGGTTACCATTAAATTGGTTTAGATTATTCTAAGTTCTATAGTTGAATCTTAAGGTCAATCATGGAATGATGAATATATCATATGAGGAGTAAGGTGCTTTCTTCTGGAACTGTATCAACTCCATATTTTTCCAAAAAACCAACTTAATACACATATGAAAATGTAGAGTATTACCGCTTAGAATAACCAATTTAAAACTAAGGAAAGACGAAACCATGTTGGGTTGAAGAGCTTACCAAACCTCTTACGGTTTACCTCAGACTCATTTCTGCTCTAACGATAAGGTTACTGCGTTAACTTTCATGAGATATAGGTCTTTAGATTCCGCTGGTGTCTGGCATCCGCACCAGCGATATTAGGAAGTAACACGGTGTAGTCAAATTTCGAAGTTTTTATGATTAAATTGTCGCTGGCTTGTTGGCATAGGCCATAGATTTGATGTAGTCACACAAGAAATAGTCTAACGACGTCAATTCGTGAGATAACACGCAAACTTGGTTTTCAATAAATCGATTGTGACATTCGCTGTCTGGCTTGTGCCGCCGTCCAAACGGAATTTTGTTCGAGATGCAGATCGCTGCCTGAACAATAACGCATATTTTGCTTATCGACAAAGCCAGTCAGCCAGTAATCAGCCTAATCACTGAAGATGATTTTTCGAAGTAACTCCGGATAATTTTTTGAGTTGTTGCTCAGACTAGTTTACGAACATACGACGATTTTGGTGGCGAAACGGCTTCAGTTTTTGCGTTAATTTAACGTAAGGATGTAGGACAAGATTTTTTCGCTAAATTCGCCACAACCACGTCACAAAGGTGCCCAACGTGTGAGAGACTGATTTGAATCTTCCTCAATAGATGCGTTAACGACAGTAATATTATCGACACTATGAATACTTCTTCGTCTAACTGGCACAGGAATATTATGTACTGTGCCGGTGAATTAAAATTTTTCCACTAGACGATCAATTGTTGAACTGGCGGGAGGATTATGACGACCATAAATTGGACGTAGAGCTTCTAGCGTTGAGGCCACTGACTCTGAATTTCGGTAATAAATTTTAATAATTTCAACTTGTTGTGGGATCGTTTAACTTTCCATGAACAAACAAAATATTTCTGAAGAGAAATGTCAAAAGAGCGGGAAAATGTATGACGTCCTTTGCTGTCTCTATCGGTCTACTTTTATAGCGTCCCTATTCAAAACACCATTATTAGCTTTCAGATAAAATAAATATCTTCTCAAATATCGAAATTTCGAGATCGATTTCTAAATTGATGAACAGTTATTTTAAAAATATACTATATATGCATGTTGGTCAGTATTTTTTAAATCACTTCTGGTTTTTTCAACATTTCAGATGCGTGGAATTGGATTTCTGGAACGGTCGCACTGATGAGCCCGTTATTGTGCATGGCTACACGCTCGTTCCCGAAATTAATGCCAGAGACGCGCTGGAGGCGATTGCTGAGAGCGCATTCAAAACATCGGAATTTCCTGTGATATTAAGTTTCGAAAATCATTGCAATCCAAGGCAACAGGTAAATAAGAATACGCTAAAGACTTATTAAAATCATTTATAGTAATCTAATAATTATATAAGTTGCTGACGAAGCCCTGTGTTCCAGCTGGGAACTTCGGGTTGATATATTATTTGCTTTCGAAGACAAATATTACAAATTACACAATTACAATTAACGCTAAATTGTTCCGTTAAAAATAAATGTGAAATGCGTAAGTGTGTGTGTGTGTGAAATCGACAAATAATGCGCAAGCCACACTTCCCACATTCTTCACATGCCATAAAATAACTGTATAAGTTTGAAATGCAGTTAAAAGTGTTTGAGCGTAAGGCAATTCTGCAGTTTGCATACTTTCAGCGAGCTGCGCACCACTTACTCAAGTATTACGTGAAAAAGTTAAAAGTTGTTAAGAACGTCATTACGTCGGTTATTCAATATGCCGAAGTTTGTTGTGTCAAAGCGCAGGAGAATAGGCGGCTTTGCTGGCTTCGGTGCTGTGAGCATGAGGCGAAGATTGCAGAGAAATGCAAACTTTTAAACACGCTTCTATTGGCAACAATCAAAAATCAGATCTCAACGCCGCGGCGCTATGTCGGCGCCTATAAGTCACTTTCTATACAAGTTTTCCACGCACCAACATGCCACATATACACACCCACACACATGTATATGCAGTTGGTAAGGATGCAAGTTGAGAAGTTTTAATCAAAATGTTACCTTTGCTAACCCCAATGTATTAGGTTGCAAGTTATTTTTGCAAAGAAATCGATACAGCATCACTCACAGACCCACAGACTCACAGAGACTCACACAGGCACACTACAAAACTATGCATCTGAGCAGATGGAATTGATTTCAAATAAACAGTTCGTGGAAAGAATCATAGAACTTTTGCTGAGGAAAGTTTTATCGTTTGAAATGCAAACAGATGCATAACTGTACATTAGTGTAACGCAAATCTATGGAAATGTATGCAAATAGGAATGTGGCGGAATAATTTTCCGAGATTGAGCAACAAAACGTAAAATAACAAGTATATATGGGAGTATACAGTTATGTATATTTTTTTAAAACCCAAGTATGTATATAGCAAGACATGTTAGAGATGCGCTTTGCTTGATTTGAAATACTTACGTATGTCCTCAAGTTTGCAATAATTTACAAAACAAAACCGTACGGCGGGCCTTTGACGGGGTATACAACCTATTCATGACAGTACCATATTGATGTTGCAGATCTTCTCTTCTCTTATCTTCTCTATTCAGATAAGCTCTAATTATTTTCTCCAAGAGTAGATTGAAGAAGTCGCATGAAAGCGAGTAGTCTTGTCTGAAGCTTCGTTTGCTATGGAATTGCTTGGAGAGGTCCTTCTCGACCTTGACAAAGCTTTTGAATCAGTCAGCGTCTACGTTTACACAGCCGTGTTAGTTTATGTGGGGATACCGAGTTCAGACTAAGCGGCATGAAGGCAGCAACTTTTCATGCCGTCAAAAGCAAGTTTGAAATCGACGAAGAGGTGGTGATGTGTGCCTTTTCCACGGGTCTTTTCCTAGATTTGGTGCATGGCGAATATCTGCTCAATTGATGATTTTCCACGCTTGAAGCCACACTGATAAGGTTCAATGGGTTTGTTGATGGTAGGTTTTATTAATTCCCCCAGTAAGCTTGATATGCGATGTTGTGGAGGCTTATGCCATAATAATTGGCACAGATTGTGGAGTCTCCTTTTTGTGAATTGAGGCTCACTTAAATTCTAATCGTTCTGCATGCTCTACCTTAGTCTACAGAGAAGCGGATGCAACCTCTTATCAGTTCTTCGACGCTGTATTTGAATAGCTCGGCCAGGAAAACATCGGCTCCGCCACTTTTTTGTTCTTCAGATGGGTAAATGCAATACAACTTCTTCATGCTCGGGCAAACGAAAGTCTGCTCCATCCTATACGATTGGGCTCTCCACCTCCAAATTTTATGCTTTTACTGCCATTCAGCAGATTGGAAAGTATTCCCTCCATAATTTCAATAAGCTCTGGGCATCATTCACTAGATGACCTCCAGCTTCTATAAGATTCACTCACGACACTCCTCATCGTACCAGCTCTCTTTTGCCTTTTGGGAAAAACAGTGGTTTCATTTGCATACGTACAGCTACAGGAAGAACTTGAAATACTGTCCCACCGTTCCCTTGTACCGAGTTGATGACGAGTGGTTCCCGAAAGCAGGAGTGCAAGTCGAGTGGAAAATCGAATAGCTGTGATTGGAGCTTTTCGACGTCGAGACAAAGGCGGGTGCAACAAAATATTTTTCCGAGTCAACGCTAGGGTCTCTGAGCGTGTGCATGTCTAAAACAGGCGTATCTTCCGTCTATCACAAAATGATCGATCTGGAATCTACTACCACAGATAACCATATTTCCGGCCCGGCGAAGTCGACCAGCCTCAACTCAATTTTGGATGTTTCATAATGGAGGATGAATTTACAGACTGTTTTGCCAAAGATAGCTTCTTTGTTCACCCTGGCGTTAAAGTTGCCAAGCAAGGTTTTGACATAATGGCGGGAGCTGCTTCATAAGCGTGCTCCAAGCGCTCATAAAAGACATCTTTGATCTTTCTCTCCCATGGAGGCCTGGGCGCAAATCAGGGATATGTTGAATAACTTTGATGCGTATTGTGGCTAGTCGTTCATTCATCGGGGTCAATGCCAGGTCTCAGCGCCAGAGTCTCTCTCACCACACGAATCTTCTTTTATTTGACCACTGTCGTTAATATTTCAAGGATGTAGTCATCTCAGTCCTTGCGCTGTCCATTGCACTTCGGCGGCTATGTTAACCTTTGCTCTTACGAGTGTCCGAACATTCTAGGTGTATACCATTAAATCGTTATCCTTAACACGTTTGCAGTGGTCGTCATCAAGAGGAGCGTCGCTCATTCGATGCTATTTTGTTTTTTTTTTTTCATGGGGGTGTTTTTTGTTAAAAGAATCGTTTCTGGCCGCTCACAAATGAACGGTACTCAGAGTATAAGCATTAGGAAAGATGCTCTCTGTTGTTGGAAAAACTTGTTCTCAGCAAGATAGCTAGACTTAGCATAAATATTTTGGGGGATCGATTCTTAAACGCTATTAGCACGCGGCGCTATGATTACTCTCTAGCTTTAGACCTCAGATGCCATATATAAAGTTGCAGTTTGGTATATCAATTTCTGGCTTGATTATTAGCACTTTATAGGTTTCGGTTAACAATAATTTGTGGGCTTCGTAATTGTTTGATTTCTTTTATTCGATGTCAAACATGCTGCCAGAGTACAAAAAAATGACAGTACCATCTAATTAGTGCCGGAATAAACTTATATAATCAAGGTTAGGTTAAGTCAAGGGCATTCTAGAATGCTAGTCCATTGTGATACTCCTAAATAATACGTCATATCGTCGACTATCAACCTGACTACTCGTATGGCGGAGCTTTTATTAATAATCTTTGCCTGCATTATCACTTTTAATATGGCTTCAGAGTATAATAGGAGATCAGTGCTATCTAGCGGATTTAAATTTAAGGGTACTATTTTCATTTAACATAACGTTGCCTTCAAAATTCCAGCAAAATCGGTTCAGTGAAATCAGTATATATATTAACAACAACACCTTTTCATACACACACACAAGAATACCATATACAGCCACCACTGTTGAAATACCACATAAGTATTATATCTGTTCGTAGACCGTATCCATAGTATCGCCATTTACTGCAACTACCTTGCCATAATTAAATGTTTATGCTCATTCCATTTTTATTGCTATTATTATTTTTTATGTCTATGCTTTTTGTGTATTTTCTCTCCATTTCCACATTTGTATCGTAATGTAGGCTAAAATCGCCAACTACTGTCGTGAGATATTCGGTGAAATGTTATTAGATAAACCGCTAGATTCACATCCGCTAGAGCCTAACGTTGATTTGCCGCCACCATCATTACTTAAGCGTAAAATTATCATTAAGAACAAACGAAAACATCATCACCACCATCGTCACAAGAAGGGAGGCGCGACTGCGGCCCCAACCACGGTCAGCAAATTGTCGACGGCGAACTCAGGTGAGTGCTCAATTTCCACCAACACACACGTATGCTTTAGTAAGCGCGTTATATATAACATATACATACATATATGCAGTGCAGTTTATAATAATGCGGCAATGACTTAGCCATTACACCGTAGTGATTGCCGCGAATAATTAATTATGGCCGTTAATACGCGAATGCAAATTGAATCTGCTTAATGGATAACATTAGCTGGCTATCGCTAAGTAAGCGTAAATATTTCGTGGGAATTGTGCTACAAATGTGTTGATTGCGTAATTGTAGAACTTTATGCAGTAAAGCGGAAAATTTAAAAGAAAAAAATGTATATACATATGTATTTGTTACGTATACGCAGGGGTGTACAAGCTCATTATTTGTAGTAATTGCCAAACCAAAATTTCATTCTAAAACTTTAGTAAAATGCAATAAGAAAGAATATAAAAATAATTAAGGATTAAATATATATAAATGGTATTCGGTATGTAATTTCATTAAAAAAAAAACTCGGGGAAACAATCTAGGTATTACACACCTAAACCTCTTTTCTTTCTACAACTCCAGCTTCTAGTTGTAGTGATCAGTAAGAATTAAAGTGCCGATAGCTTCGATAAATTATACATATTACATTAGTATGAAGTCTCTAGACTTTTCTGTAAACTCATTACAAAATCAATTACTTTCTGTAAGGACTCTAAATTTGTTTTTCAAAGCATTGGATTTTCTAGAGGGAAACCAGCTGTCAAAGTATACAAATTTGTTTAAGTTTTTTCTTTATACATTGACAACTTAGCATACAAATAATATATTGAATCTGAAAGATGTTGACGGTCTCGTGTTCACACAAGAAATGCTTTTCAAATCAGCCGGTATGAATGGTATATTTCCCGCTCTACTGTAGAACTGTATGCAAATTTACTCACCGTTTTGCTAGTATATAAACGTACTTGTATGTAGTACAAAAGTAGGTGGCAGGAGAGCAAAATTATCTTCATACCGAAAATGAGAAAAAAAGCCTCTTCCTGCAAAAATCTTGTAAACTGAGCAGTTTGGTATCATTCCCACTAAAATAAATGGAAGGAATCCATCTAACAATAAATTCCACTCAGCCGTTTGAAAATCAGACACCACTTTTTGCTTGGGGATTACGGGACGCCATGTGGACTACATCAGCAAGGTTCTAAATGTTAGCCTAGATATTCGCCCAATACATATTTAAGTGAAGTATAGTGCAATACTTACTCATGTTTTTAGGACAATGGATCGGGACTCGATGTCACTAAGGGCCTGGTTTCTTGCTCAAACATATTAAAGAACTCGGACTAAATTTAAAATGCCACCGAGAAAAGTAGAGCCATGAGGAGTTAAACAAAAAGTTTTAATTTTTTTATCAGTTAAGAAAGTTTCTGTGATCGCCAGTTCCACCGGTGATCTATATATTCAACGATGAATCAAAGTGTGATATAAGAACAGAAGCGGACTATAATTCGGGCTTTAAAGCCAAAATATGTTGGCTGAGGGTGCAATGTGGGCTCTTGATCTAATAAATAAGCCAGTAAAGTGGCATATTAGCTATCCGTAGCGCTAATACTAAGTCTCACTGTGTTAGGTTATGCAAGCAGTCAAGAAGGTAACTCGGTAAATATTATTTGGGTACTCAGTTATACAGTAATAAAAAGCATAGTGTGGTTACCACCCGGAAGCACAAAGAGCCTATACTACTGTCAAGGCTTTCTCTAGTCCAAAGTGTCTTGATGACCGAGTTGAAACTCAATTCAATAGCCTCTATGGATCCGAAGAAATGCGCGAGCTATTTTAATCTTCACTTTAGACTGCACCCTTCGGTAGGCAAAGCCAAACAATGTGTTACCCGACTGCACAAAATGACAAAATTGCTATTATCGCCAAAATATAGAAACAAAATCCTCAAATCGCTAGCTGGCAGCATATGGAGAAAGGACCAAGGAACGTTGTTGGCAACTTACGAAGCAATCAGCCGGTATAGGAGCATTAAGAAGTATTTTTTCAACTACGTCAACGACATCCAACAATACGTCGACCAAACTTCGGACGCAACCAACTTCCGACGAGCACTGACCGTCATTCACAGTGGAGCCATCAACACCTTTGCCGACTCCTTCTCAGTGAATGGCGTACTTGCGGTCAAACCACCAAACATTGCAGACGAAGAGCTCGAGTTGTTGCGAGAAACGAGAGTGATCCTTGCACAGCTTCATTCTGGATACTGTAGCACCGACATATCTGACATATGTCCTGCAAGCAATGAGTCTCCATATTACACTGACCCTCTCTTTGCGTGCCCCACTAACACTACTCATTTAACAACTCCTTTTTTATTGCGATCGCGTCGAAACAGCGCATTCTTGGACCTACCGTTGAATGATGTCGACGACAACTTATCTACTATCCTTAGCAATGAGCATATTGATGACCTAAGTGCGACCACTTGCAGTCTTGGTCTGACGGCCGAGCGCCTCTTTCTTCAACGTACCAACCAACACTGAAAGATTCTGACGTTACCCGCAATCATTCGATACTTTTTACTAAGAATTCAACTTAAAACAAGTGATTCCAACAGTTCGCAGCCAATTATATATGTACATGTTAAAAACATTGAGACGTGGTTTTTTGACTGAATAATATCCAGATATGACCCTCTCATTATAATTCCTGGGATTCTATGATTTGACTCCCATAGTGCATATTTTGCAGAGGCAAGTGAAGTAAGCCATGTCCGTTTATTTTGGAAACCAACTTGCGGTGCATTATTGGCTAAATAGGGTATATGTATAAGAATATTTCACCAATTTTACATTTTTTTTAGAGTAAAAAGTTTTATATACCTCTGGAAAATTCTTATATGTACTCAAACCTATTCTACTATTTCATTTATTAACCTTATTACATATTACTTCATAAAAAAATGTATACAAACACACACATATTTACTTCCAAAAAATATTTCTCAACAATATTTATTTTTTCTAAATATTGAAATCCATAAAACCGCTTAAGCCTAAGTGTTTTGGGTAAACTTGTATTGAATATTCAAAGAAAACAAAAGCATTTTGAAAATGTACACATTGCCATTGTCGAAAGTCACAATTGACTGTTTACCACTCATTTGCATTTTCAGTTGATGCATCCAGCAAAGCAACAGCAAATCACGCCACCACGCCGTCTGCCATACAGCAGCAGGTCTCCGTGCAGGCTGACAATGCAGCAGCAGCAGCAGCAGGCGGCTCGGCTATATCGACGCCAGTGTTGACTGGCAATGGAGATATTAGCAGCACAGTTTATCCGCCTCCACTGCAGGTAGGCAAATTTTGTTATTGGCAAGTGTATGGAGTATAGAATTATTAAATTAATTATTTTCTGTTTTTATTTTTTATTTTTTTTTTTGTAGAAGCAAGAGAAAATATTTTGCTAATATACTTGATGAATAATTGTAATATAAGACATATACATATATTGCGAATTTAATTGTTATTTTAACAAATAATATAAACGTATCCTTCTTCTTAACAGCAAATTCGTCAGAATTCTAAGGACAGCACCGGTTCTTCGGATACGGACAGCTCGAGCGACGATGAGTCTATGCCGAATGTAACACCCAATCCACCAGTAGGCGCCGATCCAACAGCAGAAAAACCACAAAAGGAAACTGAAGCGGCAGCTGAGCTCTCGGCGCTGGTCAATTACGTGGAGCCGGTGCATTTTTACACATTCGAAAATGCGGAAAGTAAGTGTAATAATTTATTTTTCTTTTTTGAGGTATATACAATATAAAAGTAGTTGAAATTATATTTTTTGGTTAGGTAACATAAAAACTTATTAAGACTATTAGTTATATTTTTCCGAGAATAAAAAGTAATAAATGAGAACATAAAAAATAATGCATACAAATGCTTATGTTAAGCGGCATTCGCCTTTGGCAATGCACAAAGCATCATAAATCCTCCGCAAAAGCTTTCTCACGAACACTCCTAAGGCAGCGAACACTATTTGTTTGATGATAGGAGATTTCCGTCTTACCCCCTTCACTACCAGACCCATTTGCTTCGTTTTCTTATCTAGTCTGGAGATAGCTGAACTGACACGGTCGTTGAGGCCAATGTTATCAATATCAACGGCGTACGCCAGTAGCTGTATCTTCTATAAGAGTGATTGCCTCTTCGCTATTCAGCTTGAATTATTTTCTTTTCGCACGAAAGAAAGTCGCCTTGTCTGAAACCTCGTTTGGTACCGCATGGCTCGAAGAGGTCCTTCTGGATTATGACGAAGCTTTTGGTATTGCTCAACGTTAGTTTACACAGCCGTACTACTTTTGCTGGGGATACCAAATTCAGATTTAGACATGTCAAAAGCGGCTTTGAAATCGACATAGAGCAAACTTAAAGTCTAATCGCCGGGCATGCTTTCATTCGTCCATATTATACAAAGAAACTAATGCATGCGTTGACGTATTTGAATAGCCCGGCCGGCAATTCACCGGCCTCTACCTCATCGTTATTCTTCAGATGGCCGAAGCTTAACAAATACCAACATTTTTCTGCAATAACTTCGATTCCGTTCGTTCAGTTCAATATCGGCGGTTCCGACAAGTAAGCAGCTTTTTATGAAGAAGAGTCTCCAACGTTTCCTTCTGCCTTACAAGTATAACAAACCTCGGCACTTAATATTCCGGTCTATCATGGAAAAGAATATTTGCTTATTAGTGATTGTTGTCTTTCTAGTAACTAGACCATTTTTATGGTAAAGTCGGAGCGCAATTACGCTGACTTCCCTTAAGAGGTTTTTATGAATCATGTCCGCTTCCTCTACTTCACAATATTAAAACGAGTTAATATTGTTGATGGTCTTGGTCTTCAGAATTTTTCAAATCTCAAGCATGTATTATCTTCGGCCACGTTTAGGGATTCTTCAGATGTTGTGCTCCACAAAAGGAGAATCAATACTGACCGTTAAATAATTTTAGTTGAAACAATTCCATTTATACTTTTTCTCTCTCCCTTCCTCTTTCCTTTCCATTAGAGAAAAATCGCTGCTACGAAATGTCCTCCTTCGATGAAAAACAAGCAACAGCGCTGCTTAAAGAGCGTCCAATTGAATTTGTCAACTACAACAAGCATCAGCTGTCGCGTGTTTACCCGACCGGCACACGATTCGATAGTTCCAACTTCATGCCGCAGGTTGGTGGCTTAACTAACATTTTATATTGCTTTTAACTTTGCATCATTAAACATTTCTCCATTTTATCATGCTTACAGCTGTTTTGGAATGCCGGCTGCCAGCTGGTGGCGCTCAACTATCAGACGTTGGACTTGGCTATGCAGTTGAATTTGGGCATATTCGAGTACAATGACCGTTCGGGCTACTTATTGAAGCCAGAATTTATGCGACGCACCGATCGACGCCTGGATCCATTCGCCGAGAGCACGGTATGGTATTTAAATGCAATTCCTTAGTTTTCGCCACAATTTTAATTGAGCACTATTTGCAGGTCGATGGCATCATAGCTGGTACCGTGTCCATTACTGTGCTGTCGGGCCAATTTTTAACGGATAAACGCGTCGGCACATACGTTGAGGTTGAAATGTTTGGCTTGCCCGCGGATACCGTGAGAAAACGCTTTCGCACACGCATTGTACGCGACAATGGCTTGAATCCGGTCTATGACGAGGAGCCCTTTGTATTCAAAAAGGTGAAGGGTGATAACATAGATTTTTATTTTTTTTTTGTTTTTTTTTTTTTTTTTTGTTTTTATAAAACAAATTCTCTTTTGTTTTTTGTGATGTGACAGGTTGTGCTGCCCGAGCTAGCCAATATACGCATCGCGGCTTATGAAGAGGGTGGAAAATTTCTGGGTCATCGTGTGCTACCCGTTATAGGCTTATGTCCAGGCTATCGACATGTCAATCTACGCACCGAATTGGGCCAACCCTTGACGCTAGCATCACTGTTTCTCTATATTGTTGTTAAGGATTATGTACCAGACGATCTCTCCAATTTCGCCGAGGCTTTAGCTAATCCGATTAAGTATCAGAGTGAGTTGGAGAAACGCGATAAACAGTTAGCCGTGCTGACCGAGGGCACCGAACCGATCTCATCAGAGGAGGACATAACCAATTCATGTAAGTTTTAGAGTGCCATTTGAGTATCTATACATAAATGTATTTATAAGTTAGAGCGCATGAAATAAAGAATCTTGGTGTGGGTTAAATTTTTATTGTCTGTGGACCGGTAGTTATTATGTATTTAGCGCCACATTTATATTTTCCTCTGATAATTTCATGTAGAATACTTCGAATTTATTTGAATTTATACCTTTTTTGGTTATTTGAACTGTTTGTCTCTATTTCTTTTTTCATTTATTTATTTGTATATCCTTCAAACTACTGTTGGTTACTGGACACTTCAACATTTTCCTCCTCTGTCTACAACTAACCAACTACACACTTAACACCATGCCACACAACAACAACAACACAAACACAAAAACAAAACAAAAAACACAACGTTTGCTCGCAACCCGTTACCTCGTTACCCCGTTAACCGTTAACCTGCCTGCGTCCATTAAACTTGACAAACAAAAGTCGTTTTTGTACAAGTAGGTGGCCAGAAGAAGGAGCTGCGTCCCGTTGAGTCCACGACAATGAGTCCGAAGCATCGCGCCAGTATTACCACGGCCGCAACTTTGAACGTCGATTCAAATACTGGTGGTGATCACGATTCCGCCGATGCGGGCACTGCCGGCGCACCCGGTTTTACACATCAGCATTCGCTGGACTCGACCGCACAGACATCAATACGGCAGGTGGAGTCGTCACAGTTCGATGTGGATTTGGTGCGCGCAGAGCCGCTGGATAAGATACTCGACAATAAGTTGGTGCGCGAGAAGCGTTTCGAGCTGGAGAAGAAGCTGGAGTCGCTGCGCAAGAAACACGATAAGGAGAAGATCAAAATCGCTATGCAAAAATCTAGTCCCATGGATGGTAATAAGAAACCCATGTTCAACATTGCCAGCAAGCTAAAGAAACGTCTTAGCAATAAGAATCTGTAAGTGTGTTTGCATCCGTATTGCGCGTCTGCGCATGCGCATTGTACTTTCACATTGATGTTTAGTAATTGTCTCGCCACTAGCGATACGGGTGTGGAAGTGCCGGCCTGCTTTCCGGACATTGGTGATCTCAACGAGGACTGTGTGGATGGTGCCACCAGCAGCGGTGGCGAGAGTCCCGCGCTGGTGACGCGTTCACAGCAAGAGCGTTTACTCGCCTCATGTCGTGATTATTCAACGCAGTACCGCGACATACAGGAGAAGTATTATGAAATAATCTATGCTTTGGCAGACAAGGTGTTGCGCAATTCGCAGGCAAATCAAATGAAACAGTTGAAAGCGTCACTTGATCGTGTCACCTCGGAGGTAATGCATCAGCTGCAAGAAGCGCGTCGCACCGAGGTGAAAAACTTGTCATCGGTTCATCGTGATCGCGATGAGTTGGTTAGGTGAGCCAAAACATTTGTTGTGGCATTAACATTGCTTTCGTGTTAATAATATTTATCTGCCGTTTTTTAGAATGAAGCGTGAAGTGGCGAGCTCGGTGGTGGAGCGCGGTGTCGCTGAGCGCGTGCGTCTGAAGCAAACCTATGACAAACGTACCGATGACCTGCAAAAACAACACGAATCCGTAAGGAATGCATTGACCGAGCATCGAAGCAGGGTGAGTAAAATATGTGATTAACTTCCTAGATGATCGATTGATTTAAAAGAAGATCGAATGCATTCCTAGCTTGTGCCAACTGATTTCCTCAATTTGTGGGGAAAAAATACATATTTCAATCCACAAAACTGCAAAAAGTTCAGTAAGGCTCTTAAGTATACTTTTAGAAGCACTAAGAAAATTCTGCTGTATTGTCAATTCTTGGTCTGACCTGCTCTGCTCTTTCGTCTATATTGTGCTTAAAAGACAGTTTACTGTTTACTGAAGAAAAATAACATGGCAACTGGACATGTAATTTATCGAAAAAAGGCTATTGAAAAAAATACCTCTATTTGGATTACCCATTATAAGGTAGCATTTAGGTTATAACTAACTACAGATTTCTCAATTGAAGATGATCTAAGTTTTGGATTATTTAGAAGCCGAACTACTCCTCTTATCTAGTTTACTCGTTAAAATAAGTTCGGTTGTTGACTCAAAGAACCCAATTCCAATTACTACTAAATGCATTTTCTTGCAGGCCCGACAAATACTCGAAAAGGAAGCTGAATCTCGAATTTGCACCATTAGTAATGGCTTCTTGGTGCTTTTCAGCAGCGGCGGCGCTGCCACCACATCGGTCACAAGCAATAACCTCACATTGAACTTAAACGGTGGCAACACCATATCGCCGGCACGTTCCAGCAATAGCATCACGAACAGCACCGGCGGCAGGAACAAAGACGATTTGGGTGGCGGCGACGACGAAACCGGGGCCAACGCGCTCGCTGGTGCGGCAGCTGGCGTTTAAAGGCTGCCTCAACCGCGATATTACATCAAAACAGTATTTGCTCTTGCGAACCTAAAACAAGGCCGAAAAGGTGTAAATCTAGCGTCAAAGTAATAAGATGAAAGCTGAAATATGGCATATAGGAGGCAAAAAGTTAAATTCGTATAAAAATGGGTTCTGTAGTAGTAGTAGTGATGTAGAAATGCAAGTTATTGGATTAGAATTGAAAATGATTTAGTTTAAATTAAATTGAAAAAAAAAAAAAGTGTTATCTAATATCTAAATGTTGGTTGTTGATGTGAAAACTATTTATAAAACCTAATTGTTAATGATAACTGTATAACTGTAAATGTATGTGTGTACTAAGTAAAGAGTTAAATAACCGCAAAATACACACAGACATTATGTCACTCTGCAGTACGTTTAAACTGATAAGTAATATTATATATACATATTTATAAATGTATGTACACATAAAAATATGAAAAATCTAATATATAGTATACGTGTTAGTTAAAGTCAATATGTATCACACATACTTATACAAATTAGTTGAATTAATTGTATTTGTATTTTAAACAAAATCCACCACATAAACAAATAACACTAAACTATAAATGCTTAAGTACCGTTATATAGCAAGATTATCAATGGGTTAACGTGCATGTACTTTAATGTACCTATAAACAATAATTAACATTTAGCTATAAGTATTGAAAAACAAAAGCAAACATGTGTGGTAAATTGTGTGAAAAAAATTGTTGTGAACTTTCTACATAGTTTAGCTGATAGGTTTTATGCTTCATAGCATAGCTTATTTACAACAAAAAATTTATAAAACTTACTATACAAAGGTGTTTAAACGGTAACTGATGTATAAGTGTCTTCAAATTCCTTTGTTCAAAAAAAATATAAAAATACACTAAAACGTCTATACTAGGGTGAGCCAAAAAAAATGATAAAATTGCGAATTTTCCGTTTTCTAAACATGCGAATTTCGGAGTTCTAAAAAGACTTCCCCGAGGTATATTTTTTTAGGAAATTTTTGGAAAATAAAAAAGAATTTCCCCTAGGTAGATTTTTTAGCAAACTTTTTGCGCGTTGTGAAAAGGTTAATCATAACTTTTGGTAATTTTGATGAAAATATTTATTTTTTGTTTTGTATAAGTCCTCCAGAATCCTTTGTTCAAAAACAAAAAAAAAACACTAAAATGTCTATACAATGGTAAGCCAAAAAATAAAATAAAATTACGAATTTTCCCTTTTCTATGTATACGAATTTAGGAGTTGTAAAAAAAAATTTCCCGAAGGTATATTTTTTTGGGACATTTTTTGTGCGTTGTATAAAGGTCAATGTTTATCTTTTCATAAGTTTTGGTATTTTTGATGAAAAAAAATATTTTTTGCTTTAGATAGGTATCTCCAAATTGCTTTGTTCAATAAAAAAAAAACAAATAACTAAAACGCCTACACTAGGGTGAGCCAAAGAATAAATTAAATTATAATTTTCAATTTTCTAACCAAATATACGAATTCTGGAATTCTAAAAAAAAATTCCCTGACGTTCCATAGATCTTCATATTTTTAATTAAACCATTTATTTTTTGTTTTGTATAAGTGTCTCCTAATTCCTTTGTTAAAAAATCATTAGAAAGTCTATATTAGGGTGAGCTTAAAAAAAATTAATTAGTCTTAACGTTTCATATGCCTAGGGTGAGTGAAAAAACACTCGTGGTATATTTTTTGGAAAATTTTTTTCTCTACAAGAATCCACGTTGTAGAAAATTGTATGCTAAACAGTCCAAAAAAATTACCTTGAGGTATATTTTTAGGGAAAGTTGTGGCTCTACAGGAATTTTTTTATTACAAGAAGCTCTTTTTTTTGTTTTTTTTTTGGCAAAACTTTGAATGCTTCCTTAATCCTCTAAAAATATAATTAAATGAATCTAGAAACCTTGTCTTGCAGAGAAATTTTACTCTCTGTATATAGGTTACCTTTAATCCATAAATTCAATATCAGTAATGTTTGACTCACCCTAGTCTATAATATCTATATAAATATTTATTTATATGTAGGTATGTAGATCAAAAATGTATATATTTTATACAATATTTTACATAAATATGCTTATAAGTGCAACAGTTACGAAAATATATCTATATCGGAGTAGATCAAAAAACCTTTTTTTTTCAAAAAATTAGTTTGTAGATACCTAGAAATAATATTTTCCCATACTTTTCACTTTTTGCTCCAAAAAATTGCGCTGTCTTAATATGAGCTCTTAATAATAACATTAAAATCCTCCGCTTTTCAGTTTCCTTTTTCATTTTGCTTATTATTGGAAAGAAGAATTCATATTTTTGCAAAGTCTCAGTATTTCTTTAATCGAAAAATGTATAAAATATAAATATATTTATCCTAAATCAATGAAATTAACAAATTTTCTCAATGTAAGCACGCATAGTTCTCACTGGGTATCTTTACTTTCGTGATCACCCACTCTTTTCAAGTCGACCACTTCATTGAAGAATATTTTATGCTTTTTAGTTATTTGTCTCGCGTGTTCTACTCACTAACTCTCTTTTGTTGGTTTTGAATATAAATGTTTTGTCAAGCGAGCAATACCCAAAATTAACAAGCAGAGAAAGGGTGCTTCGGTAACTGTTGGCACGATTTCTCTCAGTTAAATTTATATAGACTTACATTTTTAAGCACATTTTTTTCTATTTCTATGTGTAAAATATTATATAAAATATATATAAGTATACAAATATAATTCTGGGGACATGCTATTCTGACAAAACAAAAAACATATAAAAATACATACATATATTATTTGTTAAATTATTACTTCAACTGCCTGCTAATAAATATTTATATGTGATTTAAAATTTTTATAAATTAACCAAACAATTCATCGCACAATTTTCCACTGTTATTTTTATTTATTTATGTATATTTCACTGCTTATAATGGTTGTATTGTATTTAGTTGAAAATAGTTTAAAAAGTCGCTAGTCCAGGGGAAGCAAATGCAAAGAAACGAATCTCCGAACACGCACATCTTCAAAGTAACTACAATATTTACGGATGAAAACAAATGCGCTCGATGTCTATTTGAACAAATTTTATTTTTAGGTTATGTAGGTTATAAGTTAATTATTGGTGAATTAATATAATTTAGCTTTATTATAATTTATCAAAAGCTGCGAAGTAGTCTTTTGGGTGCG